TAATTATTTAAGTATTATTTGAACAACGAAATCTCTTTAGACTTCAACAACCAAATACTTTTTACAACAAAACTTTTTCAGACTTCAACAACCAAGTATTTAGGAGTGACAATTGGGTGAGACTACGTGGGTACGAGTTTCACCATCTTCTTCCTTGTTCTCGTTCTCATACCTTATCCCCATCCCCGTCCCATACCCAACGGGTATGAGATTTGTGTCTCGTTCCCATTCCCTTCTAGTATTGGTTATACCTATACGTGCCCAAAAAATAATTAAGTATTTTTAAAAAGTAAAAAAGAATTTTATTATAGAGTAACAATTAGAAAATTACATTAATTAAATTTCATTTGATATAAATTTTAAAAAGAGTAAGAATTACATAAATGTTAAGTAAAATTTTTAAAAAATAAATTAAGTTTCTTGAAATTTAAAACAGGTATAGGTACGAATACAAATAAAAGTACAAGGTGAGTATGTGTATATCTATCCTTGTCTCCGTATTCGATTTAATAAATTAAATATTATCCATATTCGTAGTCATACCCAACAAATTAGATATTCTCAATCAAAGTTGGGACAAGTTCGAGTATTAACTATGGAACAAGTGTACTTGTCTTTCTACAAGTATTATTTACAACAAAATCTCTTCAAACTTCAACAATCAAATATTTTTTACAACAAAGTCCTTTCAAACTTCAAGGAATAACACAAAGTTAAAATTAAAAAATTACTTGTTATTTTACTTTAAAGACGTGATATAACCAAATTTAGTGCATAATTTTTACAGAAAAAATAAATGAGGATTTTATAATTGTTGTTCTTATTTTATCCATAAGTCCTTAAGTTTCTTTATATAGGTTGCTTCGTCTATCTTCGTCTTTCTTTCTTATACAGACAAGTGCCCTTTGGTGCATTAAAAATATTTTATCAAATTGTCACTTTTTATTTGCTCAAACCGAAGGAATTATTGTGTGAGTCAATCTAGAATAACTTTTTTTTCTAAGACTTTGCATACTTTGAGAGATTTGTTTGTCATTTCTTTGACAAAAAACATGTTTTTGTTCCTTTTTGAGGTGTAAGTATCAAATGAGTTTTTATTCTTTTCAATTTATTAAGGATTATCATAAACAGAGATGATTAGGTTATCAAACATCATAAATGATGCATATTAAATGTATTTGTGTTATACAGACGAAGTGGTTCATCTGAAATACAATGTCATCATAACCTATCATTTATTTAATCCATCTTATAGTATGATTTGGAAAATATTTCTCTGATAAAAACGTTTAAGTTTGTTAGCATTAAAACTAATATTTTGTTAACATTAAATCTCTAATGTCTCTTTTATTTAAAAGTGTGTAGCAGAAACTCAATAGTAATATATTACTGTTACTATTATCATCTTTAATAGTTTGTTTTATTATATTTGAACAATAGATTCTATGAGTTGCTTAGTATATCTAAATGTGTGATTAGTTGTCATATTGTGTAATGTCATTGTTAAGTAACTCATACTCAATTTTGTTTCAATGAAAGAAATTTTAAGAAATTTCAAGAAACTCATAATTTTACAACCACACACATATATTAATTTTGATTTGATTATGTAATAGTTACTTGGTGATTTTCACTGAATCCAAAATATTTTTTTAATGGTAAGGAAAAATTGCTTATTGAAGCAATTGAATTTTTTTAATTAACAACTTTCATCATCATGTGAGATTGTTCTAACAGGAAAGTTACTTCAAACAATTAAAATTCCATTAAAACTTCTCGGCAAAACTTCTCAGCAAGCACCACTCATTGAAGATGCTATAAGATATATCTCTTTTATTCAAAGTATGAAACAAATGTTTAGTCATAAACAATCTATTAAAAACACTAACAGAAATAATAACATAATAAATAGGAAAATATGTATGTGTGTAGATGGATGCAATGAGTTTGTATTAGTTAGGGGAGCAAGTTTTTTTTTTTAATACATGAAAATTATATAATATTTATATCTCAACAAAATGAAATATTATTTATTTTATCATTTAAAAATGAAGTATAATTAACTTAAAATGATATATTATTTTTGATTGAATATTCAGTCAAATATTTTTAATTATTTTAATCAATAACCAATTTTATTAATTAACATTAAATATAAAAAATATTTTTGCATCATAATCAATTGTTTAATCAATTATAATTATTTTTTTTTACAACTTTAATACAAAAGTAAAAATTTGTCTAAGAACTACTATGTGACAGAATTTAATAGAATAATTATTTATCTTATCACATTATTTTATTATTTTTTCTGTCCTTTTTTATTTATTTATCATTTTCAATTTTTAAAACAACATTTATTACTATATTATCAATTATATCCTTATATCCCATCATTCATTATTAATTATATTAATAAATCTTACAATTAATATATGAGTTAATCACCTATACATTGTCAGTGTAAAGTATTTTTACGCTAATAATCAATCATATTTTTTAATAGTGTCATGTTATTTTCTCATTTAATTAAATAAAAATAAAATAAAATAATTTAAAAAATATGATTAGTTATTAGTATAAAAAACTTTACACCAATAATATATGAATTATTAACTCTTAATATATATTATTCCCAATAAAAATCACTATCTAATATTGATCTTATTCCTTTGGATCCATGGTGGGTTGGCAAAGGGTATTACCCTCTTGCATGGGTGTAGATTTTGTTGAAGTTGAAGCTAATGTGTGCCTTCTCACCCCACCACAACCACCTTCCATGCATCCACTCCGCATTCTCCGCCGATCTACCTCCACCGTCTGATCCTCCTCGATGTCATAATGTCACACATGTTAGATATGTCATCAATCATGCTCAATTATATATATTTTTATTTTAAAATAGAATATTGTGACTTTTTATATACTTAATTTTTTAAAAATTGAAAAGTTGAATTTTTAATTCTTTTAAAAAAAATATTTTTATAAAAAAATTGAGATAAAAATAATTTTAAAAAAAATATTTCTTTAGATTTTTTTAAATAAACACCTAACATGAAAAATTAATATTTTCAATCTAAGGTTTTCAGAAAATTTTAAACTTATCCTCTATTAAACAACTCCTAAATTCAAACATAAAAGTAAATTTTAAAAATGTGAAAAAAAAAGAATAATTAAAGAAAATTTTCTTTCAATATATCTAAAATAATTCATAAAAGAATTTATTCAATATTATTTTTCTATTTTTTTATCAAATAATTTATGATACATGTAAAATAATTCATGCAATAATTTCTATAGTTCATTTCATACTCTTGTGTTGCATACAAAATATAACAATAATACATGCACAACAATTCATATAAACTTTATATAATATAATTTTTATTTTTATTTCTCTTTATCATATCATTTATTATATTTTAAAGATTAAAATATTTTTTTAGTCCTTATATTTTTACTTATTTTATCTTTTAGTCCTTATAATTTAAAATAGATATTTGTAATCCTTATATTTATTCTTATTAGTCATTTGTGGTCCCTATTGTTTAAGATATATCTTTTTAGTTTTTTATATTTTTTTTAATCATTTTAGTTCCTGACATTAATTATTTTGTAACGTTATTTCTTTTGTGTTAATATGATAAAAGTTTTCAATTTTTTTTAAGGTAAAAAAGAAAAATGCCTCAATAATGAGTGTTATAAGTGAGAGTAAAAAAAAGATATAAAGTGCTAAAAGACTTAATTTAGAGTAATTCCAACATAATAAATTCAATATCAGAAATACAAAGTCGAATATCTTCCATGTCAAGTTGCTAACACAAATAATACAATACAACGTTATAAAACAAAAAAAAATAACAAACTGCAAATAAAAAAGATTAAAAATATCTATCTTAAAGTATAGGAACTAAATAAAATAAAATAAAAATATTAACTAAAAAAATATTTTAAATTATATCATTAAAAAATAAAGTAGTAAAAAAATTATTTTAACCCATCTTATATTTTTGTTCTCTGAAATTTGTCTTCTATCTGGCCCACTCTCTTGATAGCATAGGCATATGACCCATGAGGTCCTACTCACAACAACTCAATCCACCTAATTTTAGGCCATTTTCCACTGAATCATCTGGTTGGGCGAGTCACATGTTATGCGGGTCACGGTGATTCTGGTGGGTTCAAACGGCTTGTGTCATTCTTATTTTGTTCGTCCCTGGAGTATCCATCGCCGACAGCAGTGACTAATCTCCTCGCTACGTTGGAGGCACCTCAAAGGGTGGGATAGCTAACCCCAAGATTTAACGCGGCTGCATACACAAGGCAAGATTCGAACCCCTGACCTTGTTTAAGCGTGGATCAATCCCTACCGCTGAACCACACGCTTGGGGTTGGCTTGTGTCATTCTTTTGATCTCAAGAAGTTTTATTTATTTATTTATTATTTTTATCTCTACTTAATCATTTTTTACTTTCCCAAATTTGGGGCTATATATTTTATTTGGTCTCCCAAATTTAAATATGTTTTTTTTAGTTTTTAAAATATCAAAATTTATTCTTTTAATCTGTCATATTTAAAATTTATCTTTTTAGTACTTATAACTTCAAAAAAAAAGTATTTGTCCCTAATAATATCATAATTGATAGTGATAAATTAAAAAATATTTTTTAATATTTTAAAGACTAAAAATATAAGTTTTAAAATTGAGAGATTAAAAAAAAATATTTTTGAAAATATAAGAACTAAAAATACAAATTTTAAATTTAAACAATAGTTTTAAATTTTAGGGACATGTCTACCATTTCTTTATAAGTTGTAAAGATATACCATATCTTTCTATGTTTTATATCATATTTTTAATTCATGTATTAATTATTGGTTAAAAGTGAACATAGAAAGAAATAATAGAAGTAAAATGTTAATTCAATTAGTCCGAACATGTTCCTTGTATCATGCGCTAAACAAGCTCGAGCCAAAAAGCCCATAAACTCGACCCAACCTTTGTACATAAACATGCTTTATAAGGCACACTAATTTTACAAGAGTCAACACTTTTTTAGTACATAAACATGCTTTAGAAAGCATACTAATTTTAATGGTATAGTAAATTGAGAAAAACTTTGCCATGATAACACTAGAAAACTTATGCATACATAGTCATGAAGGCATTTTTTGGGTTGCACAGCTATGATAAAGTTAAACAATAAAGACATCTAAAACAGAAGATTATTGTCATCGCCTAAAGTGGGGGTCAAACAAACCAGAACTAACTAAAATCTTCAATAAATATGGCTGAGGAAATTGAGGTAGGTACCTGTATATGTTATAATGATAATTAAATTCTCACAATCTCGTGCTTGCTATTTTCAGCACCAAGAGGTGATTTAATCAGAAGAATGCCCTACTGCCATAAAACACACGTGATCCATCCTTTCTCTTCTGATCAATCTCTAGTTTGTTGCTGTTGTCATGATTTTGAATCACATCACCATTACCATGATCCACTTTTTCAGGCTTGTCAAGGTCCATTGGGAGCTTCATTTTTGCCAAGGACTCGGTGAATTGCTGCATGCTCCTCATATACATGTCCACTATTTGTTTCTGCATAGCAGCTTGCTCAGCTTCTAGATTAATGTTCCCTAGTGGAGCTGAAAAAACTTGACCAAACTTTGCAGCTTCTGTGTTCTTATTGCTTTTTTTGCTCTCATTTTCTTTGCTTGAGAAGTTTCCCTCTTTCTCATCTCTGGCCACACTTTCTTCTTTCTTTGAAGTTGGAGTGTCTGGACAAGCACCACAGTTTTGAGTGCCTTCAACAGTGACTGACACAGTGACAGAATTTGATGAGTCACCATTACTCAAATTGTTCTTTTTCTCAACTGAGTCTGCTGAGTTTCTGTCATCACTTAAGGTTGTAATAGTGGAGCCTAGAAAGCAAGAGTTCTGAATGCTCTCATCTGGTGAACTCATAGTCATCTCATAATCATCAAGTTGAGGAGATGCACCAAGGTGAAGAAACGGTAGTAGCCCTCCAATGTTGGACCTTGAAGGAGCAGAAGTAGTGCCATGAGAAGCCAAATTGAAGTACTCAGAAACCATTTGTTGGTTCTCCTTCAACACACTGATATCTGGAAATTCAATTCTAGCATACTCAACTGGGTCCAACATTACTTCTGAGATCTTTCTATCAAGCAAAATAACCTCTGACGAAATGGATGAGTTCTTTGCTGATTCAGGTATCAAATTCACTGAGGAGGAATTGAGTGCCAAAGAAGGGTCTAAAGAGAGTGATAGTTGGACAGTTCCAGCAGGAGAGTGGAAAAGATCAGTGGATGAAAGGCTGTAATCTTCAGTCACTTTTCCTTTCCCAACAACTTGTGAAATAGGAACCAAAGCAAACCCCAAAAGTTGATCTTCCATGTGAATCCTCGACCTACTAAACATCCAAACTTCACACTTGAGAACAGCATCTATTTGGGTGATCTTCATCCTCAAGTTTTCATTGAATGTGGGGTTTTTGCCACCTCCATTGATGATTCTGGTGGAGAGGGTTTCATCAGGGTTGTAAGTAAGAGAAAACTTGGCATACACATCCTGGTTGTCATAGATGCATATGTTGTGAATATTCCTGGCATGATGGACAAAGATATCAAGAATCCCCGAGAACTCAGCTTCTTCATCTGCATGAGTTGTTGTGTTCAAATTTGGACTGTACCTGAAGCTGGTGTTCGGACAACTCTGATTGAATGAATCCATTCTAACCCTTCTCACCCCTTGGAATTTTATCTTGCAACCAGCCAGAAAGTTTCCGAAGTAAGAAACACGAGAAACTGAGTAGGTGTAGATAATTGGCTCATCAATGATCAACTTTTTGGATACATAAAAGGCCAAACCAAAACAAAACAAAAAAACTTGATTATAGAACAAGCTACAAATCAGTGGAATGTTGGAAAAAGAGGAAGTATGTAAAGGATTAAACAGCACAAGAAGAGGGTTTTGTTTTCTCACCTAGTGTAATCAAAGGTAACAACTAGAAAGTCGGATAGTCTTGTTCTCTATGTATACTGAGGTGAGTTTCTTGTAGTTGAAGACATTGGTCAAATCAATCCATGGATTCAGGAACAAGCAAGGATAGAGAGAGAGAAAGACTTGAAGTAGAATGAAGTGGCTTGCTTTATGGAGCTTGTGGTAGTAGGTGAAAAATGAAGGATGAAGCATGAAAATGAACAGAGGAGTATTATGATGTACATGTTTGTTTGGATGCCACTTTTCTTTTGGTGTTGGTTTGCTTTGCTTGACAATGCAGCTTCCATATATATATAT